TATTTTAAGAAGTCATAATAGGAGTAGCCTGTTGAACTTCAGCCTGACAGTCCAGAATGTCATAGCACCGGGAAAAAGAAACTAGAGTTTGTAATTTAGAAAAATGCAGTCTTATGATGTGAGCTCCGTGCATGGCCCCTTATGTTTTCTAGTACACCAGACACAACAGTCTTTTTTCAATCTTGTCACATGCTATTTTAGTGTAACAGCAACAGCTTGTGAAGCTTCTCTGATGTGTAACTTGTTACTAGACATGATCTCTGAAAAATTAGACTAACCTGTTCTCACTGCAGTAGACATGGCCATCTGCCTCTCCCACACATCCACTGTATCCTCTCACAGCCTTGTTCACTCTTCTAATTGTTCTGCATAAACAGAGTAGGATATAATATAACATTTTAAAATGTCATGTTTACATGATAAAGAGTCAACTTTTGAAGGTGCTTTCTCCCTTCAGAGCTGCCATTTCCTATTTCCTTCCTAAATGTGTGTCCTATATGATAAATAACTTATTAACCCTTTGTAATTTCTGCTCATTGTTCTCCTGAATGGCAATGTCTGCCTGAACATAGTACAGCCTGCCTTTCAAGATACCCTTCAGATATAAATCAGTGGCAGATGAGACAAATGTGCTATCCCAATTTGCTGGCTGTACTTTCCCCAGACACTGGGAGCTGCATCATGTTATTGTTTGTTTTCTTTCATACAGTTATTGCGTAGAACTTGAAAGAAAAACCTGTTTGTGATCAACAGGGATTTGATCCATTGTTATAGGACCTCTTTCTGCTGTGGAGCTGGCAGTAGAGTTGCATAATTACATTCTGCAATTAATATAAGCTCAAGATATGCCCATCACAGATAGAGCTCATCTCAAAAGTCGTACTTGTTGAATGGGCAACACTTATTTTAGACATTACCTGTTTCTTGTGCTTTATTTCATTAGAGGTTATGAGTTCAGTTAAGATTTTGGGTGAAAGTCTATTACTACAATCTTATTTTCATTATTCCATATTTATATATATCCACAGAATGGGATATAAGTGGTTGTCTTTGCTGCAGGTGGCTTTTGCTGCCTCGAGGTCACTCTGTTCCCAGGATCCACAGTGCCTCGTGTGCCCAGAGCTGCTCTGAGGGAGCCCTCACCAGTGTATGGGGTTATCCAGCCCCATGTAGACAATGGGAGGGAGGTACAAATGAAAACATTCAGAAATTTACTACCTGGGACTCACAAAAGTCAGCAAGATCTGGCTGTAGAGGGAGCCCTCTGTCTTTAGGACTAATGGTAGAGAATTTACCTAAGAAATGAGAGGCATGAATTGGGCTTTAGTCTAGCTCTATGGAGTTTAGCCTTTCTGTATACTCTGATCCTCAGGAGACTGAGTTTTCTGTGCATTACCTTGAGGAAAACCAGCAGATCAAATAATTCCAGTCATCCTCTTGAGTCTGGGCTCAACCACAAGTGGCTGACATCACCAGAAAAGCCAAGCAGTGCCCATGGAGTACAGGAGCCAACTGTGCTGATTGTGGTGACCAAAGAACAAAGTGGCTTCTAGGCTCTGCCCCTACTCCCAAAATGTGTGGGGGTTTTCTCCTTTTTTATTTGTTTGTTAATTTTGTTTAATGCTGTCCAGTGTAAAATATATAAATAATCCTTGTAACAGGGACAAGGATTCTATGAATCCCTTCCCATTTAAGCACTGTAACTATTGCTAGACTACTGGCACACTGCTCTTCCTTCAGGAAAAAAAGATTGCATTTTTCAGGATCTCATTCCCCTACAGATGAAAAAGGATGTTTTTACATTGTCTGTCCATTGCCAAGGACAGCAAAACAAAAGGTTGTATTCAAGTAGTTGTTGAAAAATTTAAATTGCGGTATAATTATCTTGCTCAACATTTTATTAAAGTAGCAACAAAAATTCATTACAAATTAATCCCCACAGCAGCATGCATCCAAGAATTACAAAATGCTTCTTTGGAACAAAAATTGTTCTACATTTTTCAGTAGTACATTTCTCTGAACAATTTCACACTATTTATAATAAATAAATAAACCACGTGAAGTGACAGACTAAAACCGGAATTACTCTGGATAGGTGAAGAAAAAACTCCCTCCAAACCAGTTGCTCTTACATAGTTTGTTAGAATTCAAATTTCCAAGATTCAGCTCACAAATTAATGAAGTCAGGAGTCCAAATCACTTTGAGTGAGCCAATTCACTTGCATTCTCTGTATCACCGTAACCCAGTAGTAATGAAAGAATCATGAGGAAACAAACTCTTACCAAAAATTACAAAAGAACAAAGAAACAATTCTGTCTGAAGAAGATATAAAATATGGAAAGACCGTTTTCAAATTTCACTGCAATTTGTAGCAAAAGAAATAACTTTTGCAACAAAAGAAACACACACATCAGAGAAATTAATTCACTGTTGAAATAACAATTTATCTTTTCACATTCTTGAAATAAGGGGTTTTTTCCATGGTGACAGTGCTCAGATCTGGGGGGTGTGTGAGAGATTTATTCATTTATTTATTTATTGTAGAATAACTTTTTAAAAAACTAACAAAATTGTCAACTTCCAAAGTTACTGATCCAAGCCTTCACTGTGTGGTTGGAGAGGTACTGCTGCAGCTCCTTCAGTCCATTTTTCCAGGTAACTCTTTATGGAGTGATGCTCGTGAGATCTTTATCATCTGACTTGTGCCATCCATTTCCACAGAAGCATCACAAACCCTTCCACAGCACACAGGAGCCTCTTTGATATATCCTTTGCTCTGAACTCAGGGAGGTCATGTGATAATTTGAACTAAAGTGGGTTACAAATACACCTGACCTTTCTCAGCTGCACCATTTACCTTCACTGAAGATTCTAAAATCTCAGCATTTCAGAAAGGATGCAGCATAGCTCCCAAAGCCAGATGTGAAAGCAGCACCTCTTCTGTTACATTCTGAATAAACTTCTAAATAAAAGTCCAATAAGAATGCAATCCCTTACAGGAAAGATGATAAATAAGGATATAGGCATGGATTTCAATATTGCTACCAATCAGACAATTCTTCCAGACTAAATGTTAAAAGGACTTTGCTATCCACAAAATAAATATACAAAGCTAGTTATATTCCTGCAGTCAGTAGTTGACATCCAGCCACTTTCACTTCTAGCAAAAAAAAACCTGATACAATTATCAATAAATTTAAAACCATGTAATTAAAAAAATACATTCCCACATATATAATTTACAACATCTACGTACAAGAAAAAAGGTTGATTGCTGTTCTAAACAGAAGGGCAAACACAGAAACAGTCACATCAGCATGATATCTGACAAAGTTTTGTAGTGTGAGCTGTATATCAGTTTAAAATTAGAAGAGATTTCACAACTAACACCTATAAAGATACAGTCACATCACATTATCAGTTAAAATCACACCTTAGCTTAAATATGCAATTATAAATATCGTGGTTTTGCACACAATTTTGCAATCATAATAATTTCTGTTAGCACAAATAAATATCAGAAAGAAATATTTTCATTTTTATTATTCCCAGTGATGGTGGATACAAAGTCACCTACACAGATTTTAGCCCTTCATGAAGCATCACAAAGACTATGGGCTTAAATACCTCACTTGAGCATCTGTTAGAGCAGAGACTGAGAAAGCAGACAGTTGCTTTTTGAGCAAAAAGGCAAATAAATGAGAGAATTCACTTTTGGTACTGTTGGTCTATAAAATATGTAATTCAGTCTGTGCTCTGAAAGCCTTGAGATAAAAGTGTAAGTTTTACTGTTATTATACAAACACTGAGCTCAGGTTTTACCCAGCCGGTCATGCTCCTCACCAGACAGCCAGGTTTCCATGGAATGCCCTCTGCCTGCTGCTAGACCTGCACATCTGACTTGTGCACATCTTGCTTTTTAAGTAAGAAAAGCAACTAGTTCAAGCATCTCTTGAGAAATTCTGGAAAGTAGGGCCTCCTCTGGAAGCACTGAACAGATGCCTGGCTGAAAACAGCATGTGAAGGGCAGAGGGATTTCCAGACACCAGCTCCACCAGTGGCTGCCCCCGTAGCCTCTAACCCAGCTCAGACTGGGAATCAGCTCCCAGAGCAGTCCTGGCTTCATCACAGGAGTTTGCAAAGTCAGACACAGGAACTTGCCTTTACTTTGAAAGTCTCTTGCCTAAACAACCATAAATTCCTGTGTAAGGTTCATAGATAATTTAATTTTTCTGTGACAGGTGCTTTGGAGGAAATGCTGAACAGGTTGTGGTATCTCTCCTTGGCTTTCCCTTATCATGGCAACCTGTAGCTTTAAGCAAGTGTAAGCAGGAAGATGCTATAGAACTCTGTATTTTCACATCAAGCTCTACAAAGGAAGGGCTTGCCCAAAGTGTGTGTCACAGCCATAGAATTGTATTTATGACATTAATTGCTAGGTGCTAATTTGAGAATGCATCAGTATCCTTCTCTCTGACTCTTGAGCCCTAGCCAGCTTTGCTTACTTGGCTGACACGTGACTTACTCTGTCATTTTAGTTCTTTCTTGTTATTTTAAAAGCAGTCTGGGCATTGCCCTTCCAGTCCTGTGGGGGTTTAGACATCTGCACAGAAATAGACACCACTGCATGTGCCTGCCTGGTGGCCTGTGCTGCTCAGAGAGACAACCCGGCAAGCTGGGAAATGCAGCGGATTTGGGAAAGACTGCAACATGGCCTGCATGGGTCCTGCTTCTGGCTCTGCTCCAGACAAAGCTCTGCCAGCTTCTGGAATTTCATCACACCTACTCTGCTGGTTAAAACCTCCTTGCTGTTGGTCTCTTCCATGCCCTGCCATCACCCTGTCAAGCTGGAGAGTGCCTGTGGAGCTCTGCAAAGGCGAAACAGGAGAAAGCAAGGATGCAGACAGAGCAGGATACAGACTGCAAAATCACAGAATCACAGAATGAGGAAGGTTGGAAGGGACCAGAGTTGGTCATCTGGTGCTCAAGCAGGGTCATCCCAGGGCACATGGCACAGGACTGAGTCCAGATGGTTCTTGAATATGTCCAGTGAGGGAGACTCCACAACCTCTCTGAGCAATGTTTGCTTCCTCCTTGCCATGTAGAGAATGCCCAACAGAGTCCTTTGGATGCAGCAAACATAGGTTCATGGTTTTAATGCTTAAATCTGAGGCCTGTCAGGGTATTTTTAGTTCTCTTTAAGTTTTCAAATATAGTTGAATATTAGTGAAAGTAGCTTGAATTAGGAAGTGGCTGTGTAGGCAAAACAATACTGGATAGGAAAGCCTTACAATGCTGTAGAGACTGCCTCTTTCACCCACACTGGGCAGGTTTGTGACTCTTGGGGATGGGGCTGTGCAGGGCTGGGAGCTGGACTCGATCATCCTTCTGGGTCCCTCCCAAATCAGCCTATTCTGTGATTCTGTGAATCAGGTTTTTCACAGGTTTTTGAATGTCACGTACAAAAGCCGTGCAAAATGTTCATGACACACAGGAACACACAAGCACTTTCCTGGGCTTCTGCAGCACAGAAGTGAGAAAATGAACTTCTAGCAAGAACAAGAGCTTGTCTAGAGCAAAGCCAAAGCAAGATATGATATTTTGTCTGTAGCTACATCAGGGAGACTGGCCCCAGGCTGCTCATCATAGGCCTGTGTGGGAAGAGCAGGGAAGGGGCTATGCTGGCAAGTAAAAAGCCAGGATGACTTTTCCTCTGACAACACTTTATGTCCTAAAGTGTTCTAATAGATAAATTTTGAGAAAAAACATTTTGAAAGTGTCACTTTTCTCTGAATTTTCCTCTTTTCTGCAGATATTATCGATATTAAAGCTCTAAACCCCTTCTGGTACACTTAGGTACAATTGGTATTGAACCAAGATAAAAGGAGCTGTTAAAAGCCTGCTACATACTCTTCAATATCTGTCAATTTCCAACAGGATTCAGTAATAGCTGAGACCTACATTTAAAGTGGTACATCTATAACCTGATTGCTGAAAAAGATAAGCTATTTTAAATGCTTCTTACTGACTTTTTAATTTGTTTGGTTCCAGCTGCAGATTCATTGAATAGTCTTCCTATTTCACACTGCTCAAGGTAAAAATAAACCAAAGCAAAGAAAGATTTTGTGCTCTTTGCCATCAGACACCTGTTTATTGAAGCGTGCTGCGATGAGATTTGCACTGATGTGGGCTGAGGGAGTCACTGGCAGGTAATTACTGCTATCAGCAGCAATTTGTGTTGCTGTTGGAAGGTCTCCTGGGTACTGCCAGGTGCAGGCACACATTAGAGCAGCTCCTCTCCTCACCTCTCATCTTCACAGGGAGTATCATCCCCTGCCCCACTCTGTGTCCATGGACATGTCCTGGCAAGCCTTGCTCATTCTGAGATCACAGACCACTCTTCAGCCAGGTAATGGGAAGAAGGATTTAGGTATTCTCCTGGAGCCAACTCACCTGGCTAAAGTTAGGTTGTATTGAGTACTTCATCCAGTTAGCCTCAATAATACACTCTTTTCACTGCCCAAGATGCTGCATTTTCCTGTAGGGCACCCACAGGTATGAAAAGATTTATGGTAGCTTCTGCAATTCTGTGAGTAGAAATGTCCTTACAATTCATACAATGGGTGGGAACAGAGCATCCAAACCTCTTACATGGCTGCACACTCTCAACAAGGTGGGCTTCAGGCCTGAAAGAGAGGAGAAAACTGAGAAAGAATATTTTACACTCTCATATAATCTGCAAAAACAAATGAAAACTAAGCCTCTTTGTAGATCCTCTATATTTTTAAGATCTAAATGCATGGGTTCACAAATGGCATTTAAGGAGCATTGTGTAAAAAAAGCATCATGAAAACAGTAATGTGCATCATCAAGAGAAGTGGGTTAAGGAGATGTGCTACTCACTACAGAATGAAAGTTCTGGTGTGTGGGAGAGCCTCTCCTTAGCATCAGCTGTGTGGGTAACCCCCAGATGGAATCAAGGGGGAAGGCCCAAGAAAATGCCCCATGGCCCTCCCTGCAGCCAGCCAGAGCATGTCCACAGGAATCACTAAGCTCAGACACCAACATCACCCCCTGCCAGAGGCGCACCTGAGGCACCACGCCTGAGAACCACTTTCTGATGCTCCACTAGAGCCCGCTGTTCCTCAGAAGAGAAGGCTTAAACTGATGGCTTCTCCCCATCCTTCTGCATGTCTGAGATCCTCCAAGCACCCCCATGCTTGGCACTAGGCACTTTGAAAACCCAGCCTTCCAGAGCTGGGCAGTGTCCCTCCCTGCCATGCCCTGTCTGGTGCATGGCCTGTCACTGCCAGCCTCTCCCAGGGCTGCCCTGGCTGAAAGCCACCCCAGCACAGCCCCATGCCCAGCAACGTGCCCTGGTTCTGGAGGACCCACAGCAGTCACTGAAATGTGTTAACTATTAACTAACCTTGGATGACAAACAGGTATCACCAATGGACAGTTTTGCAGAGGACAGGTAGGTATTGGTAATATCTTCTAGCTCAGTGCTGAAGTGATCAGAATCCTTGATGACATTATAATTTAGGGCCATGCTGTAACTGGCAGGTTTCTTCTCCTGCTTTTGCTGGTAGTTGCACAGTTTCCTGAAGGCTGCTCTGAATTTCTGGGACATGAGATTGTAAATGACAGGATTGATGGCACTATTTAAATAAATGCAGATTCTGCAAAATAGCAGGAACCAGTTTTCTTGGAAGGGTCTGGAAAGAAAGGAATTGACGACAACCAGGGTGCGGTAGGGCATCCACAGGAATGCGAACAGAATCACAACCACGGCCAGCATCTTGGTGACCTGAGGGAACACAGAGAGAGACAGAGGAGGGGCAGAAGGTCAGTACTCCCCCTGGCATGAACACATGCATTCTTCCACCTCTAGGGCCAAACCAAACCTCTGGGCAGATCCTTCAGCGGGCATTCTGATGAATATTTGATTCAGAAAGGAGGAGAAAGCACAAAAATCTTGGCTTCAAATTTTTCCTAGTTTTTGTTAAATTACTCTTTCCAGATGACATCCCAGTAAGCTAACTGTTGTAGACCTCAGACATTTCCACTTCTTATTCTGGAAGAGGGTGTTGATTCAAATGGGAAAAAAAGGACAAAGTATTTTTTTCCCAAACTAGTATAGCCTGTAGAGTAATTAAACATGAAGCCTTTTTAGGTCATCTGGTTTAACAGTCAGCCTAAAACAATTTCCCAAAGCCAAAAGTAAGGAAAAAAGAGAACAATTAGATTAATTTATTTTCTTCAAATCCTCAATATTTAATTAGATCTTCATTATTTGATGTTTACTCTGAAAAGCCAAATAAAGTTTACAGAGTCAGGGAAAAGGGATAATCAATCAAACTTGATTGTTATAAGAACTTTATTCTATTATGTAATTTTCTGTACAAAAAAAGAAAAGAACAACCTTTGGGAATACCCAGGATATCTGAAATGAAGTGAATGAGAAATAATTTTTAAAAATCCACTTTAAAATGAGTCTTTCTTTTGTAAATAATTTAATTCTGATGTGGACAGTATTCAACAGTCTCTACATTTAAGAAAGTTTGAAAGGTATTAATAAAGAAAGTAGAAAGCACACAGAAATGTGATATGGGAGGATACATCAGCACACCTTCAGGGAAGTCAGGAGATGGCTTGGTTAACTGTGTGAAATAGAAAGTATCGGCACACATTTTGGTGAGCTACAACAGTTTCTTCTGCTTGTACATTTATAAGAGTTTCAATAGGAGATAACTCCACTAAGATCACTCACACATGCTAGTTTTAGAAGTAGGCTTTATTTTGAAGTTATGAGTATATAATTTGATTGTCTTCTGACCAGATAAGTTCAGTATACAGAAACCTGCTATCACATTGCCTAATTAATGTATTTTCTCATATCTTTCTAGAAAGACACACTTTTAAGCCAATTTGTTTGGTTTGTTATAGGTATTCTAATAAAGAATGATGATGAAAATCAAAGATACTCTACAAATTGATGTATCTTTATCTATTTATTGGTCTTTGAATGTGCATATTCAAAGGCTGCAATTTTATCTTAGTTCATCCCTTACCCTTATTTTTGTTTTCTCTACAGCTGTGTTCAGTGGGAGTAAAAAATAATGAGAAGTGAGACTGAGAAATGCTATCTATCTCCTTTTTTGTCACTTGACTGATACATTTCATTATGACTTCTACACTGTTTTTTTTTTCTAATTTTCTGTTTACAGTCATTGTAATAGAGCAAAATACAAACGTGAATGTTCCAGGTAACTCAAAGGATGATCTCTCCTTATCTCCACTTCTGAAAGGGTCATTCCTGTGAACATGGTAGCAAGGAGAGAGTTGACCCCATACTGACCCATTCTGGCTCTCATCCCTCCAGTTCAGCTCCAGCCTGTGCCTCCAAACTGAGCAAATCCATTCAGTGGAGAGCAATCATTCACTGTAGAGAATAATCCACATTTAAAGGAAGAAAGCCACCATTTGTGGGGCCTGAGTGAACAAAGGGACAGAGCCAAACCAACAGATGTATTCCATTAGCTCAGGTATTCAGGGCATAACAGCCTACACAAGCATCAGAATACTTTGCTACCAAAACCTCAGCAGGGCACTCCATTATGGTACCTGCCAGTCATTGGCAATTTACATTTCTTTCAGGAAAAGTTGCTCAGAGGATCATTTGCAGTGTTGCAGCTATCAGCTTGAGTCTAGACTAGAAGTAAATTATTCTTACTGTCAAGGAGGGGGTAATTCAGAGTCACACAATTAACACTGTACAGCAGTGAACAAGGACTGTTGCTGCTCGAGTGACTGTATCCCATACACTGCAAATACATATATATATATAATATATGTATGCTTGTTTGTATGTATGTATGTGTGTAGTGTGCAAACTATTAGCTGAATTTGTGTATATTGGCATTTGGATGCACATTTTCTTTTCAGCACCATAAACTTCTACTGCTGGAAATGAAGCACTTTGTAGAGCTGGTTTTCATTTTGCTCAGGTCAATGAACCAACTCATGTACTCATATGCCTTCACAGAGTCTACATGCAGTGCAAGAGAAGAGGCAGAACCCAAGGGTGGCATCCCTTTGGTGGCATCTCTTGGTGGTTCAGTCCATGCAAGATAATGAGGAGAATTCACTATAATTTTAAACTGTCTGCAGTACATATCCTTGCAAAGCTGCCAAAAAGAACAAACCTGTCGCAAGATCTCTATTGCCTGTCAGAAATTCAGTTTCCTGATCCATCTGACTGGCTGTGGTTGTCTCTGAGACACATGATGAGACCCTGAGTTCAGGTAGTTATTTGCTCATTGGTAAATCCTCCTTAGTCTGGCTCTGGAGTGGTTCTTCGTGCTCAGCTACCTCAGACCATGAGCAATGTGCAAAAGGCAGCAGTTCTGAGGAGGAGCTCTGGCAAGGCTTACTTAGCCCCAGCATGGGGGTTGTCACCCCACTGCAGGGTGAGGCACCACTCAGGGCTTCTGACACAAATTCATCTCAATTTGTGTTATAGGTGAACCCATCATCTAAATACCTGACTGAGGCCGAAGGTTCATTCTTATCCACACCAAAAGTATTTATTGCTGAACATAAATTGTTTAGAGGAAAGTTTGGTCCTCTTTGTTTAAGCAAAATGCCATGTTCTTTCTCAAATCACTTTATATGAAACAGTACTAATCATATTGGGAAGGGGCTAATTATTTTGACATCAGTGGAGTGCTAAGAGGATAAATTTTAAAAGAACATGTTTTTATTACCTGTAAGCATACACCAAAGCTCCCTGAAAGCAGCAGCACTACATCCTCAATTCACTGCTCAGGTGAAGGCAAACACTCTGATTGCTCTTTTCTTGTGGAATTGCACTCTATGTTCTATGCGCAGGGTACAAATTATCTTAGTTAGAGAGATTGAAAACATGGTAAAAAGATTTGAGCAATTTCAGCTTAGTCCAAATTTCAAGTGTAGTTTGAATGATAACAAAATAACTTGAGATCAAATATGGTTCTGCCTGTATATAAACATTCTTCAAGCCATATCTTTTTATTTCTGAGGATGCTCTAAAGGATATTTAAAATATATTTTACTAAACAGAGTCCCAAATATTTTAATTCTGAACTAGTATCCTCCTTTTCCTTCCTGCTCCAAAAGCTTCTTATTTTAAGGAAGGGGTTTTATTAAACATTTCACTATCCTGCTACAAAGAGTTTAGTATTGCCTCCTTCTCCTTTGAGTACTAATCTTTCTTACACTGATAGTAAAAGCAATAGTTACTCTGGCGTTTTAAAGCATGTAATAACATCTTTCTTCTTGACCCTGGTAGTGCTCATTGCAAAACACAGAGATTGTATATCCCAGTCCATGATTTCCTAACCAAAAAGAAGTTGTGCAATGAGGAGGCGAATTAAACAAATAGAAGGATTAAGGTCTTGATATACTAACACCACAAGTGAAACCAAGTGATAAGATTGAGGATTTCATGTAAGGCATGTAAAACTTATCTTGCACTGCAAGCTGGAATCTGTGCTTGCTGTGCTGTGAGGGAACAGAGGGATCTCTCTGGTGAGCAGATCATGACTGCAACACTGTCCAAAAGAGGACTTTCTCTAGAGGGCAATCTACCTGCTATAAGTGACCATGATAGCCACCATGACCTCAGATTTGACTGGACTAATCAACTAACTTTGTGAGATACACATACTGTTAAGTGAGCAGGATTCCATCTCAAGTTTAAACCAACATGTTTGCTATGTAAGGCTTTTGCATTTGTTTTCCTCAGTCACCTTGATATCTGAATTCCTTTGGGGAAAGCATGAAACCTTCATGCAAACATGCAATTCAGCATACATGCTATAAATGGAAAAGGAAAAAAAATCTGTGATCTGTGGGCTGCAGGACCCACACTGAAACAGAGGAAAATGGTGAGAAGGAAGGAATAACAAGGGACCAACCTCTGCAACCTGACTGCAGCACTCTCTGGCCCCACACTGCTGGTGGCTGCAGGGAAGGGACTGAGTGTAACTTGTGGCTATAACAACAAGCAATAAATTAGCACTATTAATTTTTCCCAAGTTGAGTCTGCACTGCCCAATAACTGATAGTTTGTTTGCCTGTCCTTGTCTTGGATCATGAAGAATAGGAGCACTTCCTATTTTCTCTCCCATTCCCAGCTGGAGCCGATCCCCCTATAGAAACATGCATATATTTATTTTCATAGAAATGTTCTTGGATAAATATGAGAACTGCTACAGAAGTAGGAAGTTCACACCACATTTTCAGACACCTTTTTTACAGATCACATGCTGGATATTGTACACTCCTCAATCCCTGTAGTGCAACACAGGTCCAGGAAGACACAGAGTTTCACATTTCAGCAGGACTCACTGTCAGGCCAGACTGTATTGTCAGCTATGTGTCCTTGTCAGCATGGCAAGAAATTTTCCTTTTTGTGTCTTAATAACTGTTGAGATTCTAGATTTTTTTTAATATGTACTTGTTTTTTTACCTTTAGTCTTGTTTTTTCTTGTTTTTTACACCATTACCTATCTTTTGCATGTTGCTATTTTACAAAAAATATTACTAATAATGCCACATTATCCTTGCTTTGCTTCCTGTGTTGTACTATATGTAAATTCTAGCTTTACTTATAATGAAGCTCCTTCAAGCAATCAGATTTCTTAGACTTTTAGAGAAAGTCTTGCTGTCTTTACAAGACATAAATGATATCACATTATAATCTTCACTTTTTGGTTTCATAACAGCGTCCATATTCATCAATGTTCAATGTAAAAGATTTGTCTGTTTTTCAAGTGATACTAAGCACATGTAATCAAGTAGAAAGTGATATTAACTTGAAGAGCAGGTTATCTTTTTCTACTAATTAATGGACAAAGAAAAACAACATTAAACACTTCCTGACTATTAACTATAATTGGCAACATAATTAAATTTAACCTAGCCCACGTATTTGTGTTGTGTGTTTCCAAGCATAGCTCTAGTGCTCTTTGAGGGCTCAGTGCTGTAGAAGGCAGCTCAGTTAACTTTTCAGGTTTTTGCCATCTCTGTGATAGGAGAACATGGTCCCTCTCATAAACAGTAGCAATTGAAGCAAAATAAGAAGAATACAAAGAATAAGAATAATATCCACAGAGCCATATGCAAAAGATGCACCCTGTGTTTCCCATCCCTGCACCAGATGTGCTGCCTGCTGCACACCATGTGGTTTACTGCAAACAGCCAGCAATTAATCTGCTCACTATGTTCCACTGGTATTATTACACACAGCAGCACACATATTCAATAATATAAAAAGAAGCTAGTCAAACCTATGCCTCAGTTTTGAGCCATCAGTACAAAAAATATTTTCTGAGAGAGAGAGAAAAACAAAGATATTTAGCATTTACAGAGCAATTTATATCCAGACTTCCTTAAACAGACTTTTCACAGGAGAGTCAGAGACAGGAAAATTTACATATTGACTGCATTTGCTGAGTGACATAGTGCCTTAGCTGGGACTCAGCCTCAAGTGTCCCAAACTCCCAGGATAGCTCCTTCCCTTCAAATCTCAAAATTAAGTCAAGAGTCACTTTGTATATTTGGCAAGATTACTAACAATCTGTAATGTAAAAAAATTATAGTTAAAAATGTTTCCATCATATTTGACACTTCCTAATTGTTTTCTGATATAGGAAATAAAGTACTGGGGGTTTTTTGGATTGGGTTTTTTTTTTTTTTTTGGTCCTTGCAGTAGGTAAAAATGTACAGGCAAGAAAAAAAAGTATTTTTATGTATACATATATCACTTGTTTTAAACTTGACTACTTAAAAAAAGGAATCTTGACTACTTAATAAAAAGATGTATTTTACCTCTTTCCACAACTTCAGACAAGTGAACTTTAAAACAAGTTGTTTAGGTTTCAGAAAGCCATTTCAAATAGTTGTTCCTACCTGCCTTCGAGAAGCAATAGTGCTATTGAAACTCCTGTTAGTCATCTTGGTATTCACAGGCTTGCTTTGGTGAGCCACATCATTCCTCCAGGTCTTAGAGTTTTCTTTTGGGTCTGAAGGGACGGGGTTCAGGAACAGTATCCTAGCAATCAGGCCATAGAGCACAGTCGCCAACACCATTGGCACAACATAAAATATACCAAAGTCCATCATGTAGATAGGAGAGTAATAGCTCCTGGAGACCTTGTAGCCACAGGACACAACAGTAGTCTCTTTGTAGGCTACTGTGTTAAGGTCTAGCAAGAAAAACCAGAGCATACAGTATATGGAGGTGAAAGCCCAAACAAAAAGAATGATCTTTTTGGCTCTTGAAAAAGTGCACAGGAATTGAGCTTTGATTGGGTGGCAGATGGCTATGTACCTCTCAATGGTGAAGGCAGCGATGGAAAAAGAAGAGGCGTTGATTCCCAGGTACTGGAGATAAGTGATGCAGAGGCACCCGGCGTAGCCGTACACCCAGGATCTGTACAGGCTCTCGGTGATATTGGGCAGCCCTGCAGCCACAAGCACCATGAGATCTGCCATGGCCAGGCTCACCAGGTAGCAGTTAGTGGGAGTTCTCATGTGCTTCGTTCTGAGGACCACCAAAACCACCATGACGTTGCCCACGATGCCCAGCCCGCAGATAAGGAGCACCAAGAGGATGGTAACCACTTGGTATTCGGCTGTAATGATCTCCTGGCTTGATAGTGGCAGCCCAGTCTGGTTTTGCTCGTCTCCTGTGCCATTCTCCATCTTCACCAGCCCGCTGCTGCTTCTGCCAAGCACTCGCTCTCAGCACCTGCTCTCCATGGTCCCCTGCAAAAGGGTCACTGGAGCAGAGTGTGGGTGAGCCCCAGAACGCGTTCTCCATGTAGTCACAGTCCCATTCCTGTACCGTCCTCCACTCCCCCTACAGCACCTGAACTTTCAGTCTTTGTAAAGTCAGCTATGAGACGGGTTAATCCCTCTAAGGCCCCAGCTCACTTGCACAGGCTAGAAGGCTGTTTCCTCACAGCTGCTTTGAAGCATTCACGGAAAGCCAGCCCGTGGAGGTGGGGGTGTCCTGCCCGCAGCGCCAGGGAAGCTCCGGCAGCTGCTGCGGCTGAACTGTCCCGCGCTCCGGCAGCGCCGCTGGCCGGGAGGAGCCGCCGCGCCCCGAGGGTGGGCACAGCAGCGGGACGGGAAACCAGAGCGATGCGTGAGGGTTTCTGCCTCACGCCGCTCTCCCTCTCTGCTCTCAGACAGCTGTCATGACAGCATCGATCGCATTGATCCACGCTGGCAAACAAAGGAGAGCTGACTGGCAACACAATTGCACCGATTTTTAAAATTCTGACTGCCGCGATGCCATTGTGAAAAGTAATGGCTATTTACGTTTGCCTCCTGCTTTGCAAGGAGTCCCTTTAGGGCTTTGCAGAAAAAACAAATGCATCCCAGCTCTTGAAAATAGCAGGAAAAAATGTAGGGATCTTTTTTACTTAATAGAAAATTCTGTTCAAAACCTCTATCACTACAGCTCTCATCACTCCTGAGTCCTTTCAACTCTTTTGCATTGCAGTAGAGCAACAATAAAATGATCACAACACAAATTGCTTCTTAAGGAGATCAGTCACACAGGTACACGTGTGCATGCACACAACACAGCGTCACTAATCTACTACTCTTTCCTCAATGTAGATTCTCCTCCAATTGAATAAACTCCTCCACAGTCAGTCAGGTTGTGTAAAACCACAGACAAACCAAAGACTGGTGTAAATAACTGTTTTGAGCAGTGCAGATGAAACTCTATCAATTCAGTAGCCCAGCTGCACCTGGAGACTGCACTTTCCTGTCTCACTTGCTATCTAAATGCCTTAGTGGGAAAAACAATAGCAAACCCCGCTGTAAGGCTCTGTGAAAGTGCCCTTGTCAGCTCCCAAACAGTCTCTCAGCCCACCATTTCTCCTTATGTGTTAAAAGTTTGAAGAGCAAACTTGTCTTAAAATCCCTTATTTTTCTGCATTTAGGGCAATTGGTTTTGCTCTTTTCTCAGGAAACAAAAGGTTCAACAAAATAAAATGTTGCACAACTAAGGAAAGGCATCTTAGATTTCAAAACAGACTGTAGTGTTTAGCACTGGCACATGTTTGCAAAACTAGGATTTTAAGTAGACTTAAACAACAGGTGGTGACAAAAAGAGAGTATCACCTGAAAATCAGACTCAAAAAATACCAGAAGTTTGAAGCCACTCAGTTAAAGTTTTCCAGTCATTTTTTCCCATTTGCCTATGTTGTGATCACATACTTTTTAGCTGTAGATCCAAGAATACTTAATGAAATAAAGCAAATATAATTTTTCCTGTTTAATAGATTAAGAAACAGAGGTGAAAAGAATCAGATTGTTTTGCCAATGGTCTTGCAGTGGCCTGTGGAAAAATGCAGGTTGCTGATTACTTGACCAACAGTATATCAGCAGAAACATATAATCTTGATTGCCCTTCATACCATCTGCAGATCCTGTTATTTTGGACACAGCTGAAAGAGGAAGGTACGTACTGCTGTAATGCCTGGGTGTCATAAAAAAATATTCCTTCCAGCCCCTCTACACTCCACAACATTTTGTCCTTGAAAATGGACAGATTTCCCCTTCCATGCTTTTAAAGCTGTGTGGCCATAGTGGGGGCAGCCCGTGATGTTCAAGCCCACAGCATAAAACGCACCACGAGGGACCCAGGACTGAAAGACCACAGAGTTGGTGTCAGCACTCAGGGACCCAGCAGGGCACTGAATCAAAGATTCAGACCAGGAAACTGAGTGACATGGCTCTGTGGATAAACTCCTCAGTCCTCAATGACCTCAGGTGAATTAGAAGTTTTTGGCACCTCCACAGACTGATTTCTCTTCAAGGGGTTACTGATGCCTTTCTGCCACACTGTCACACAGTGAATTCTCACTGCTCCTGTTTCTGTGTATCCTGCTGGCTTATGGAGGCAACCTGTAGGTTCTGATTTGGCCTGAGAATCAGCACATCTGAGAGCATGGAAGTGTTTGCAGCGCAGAAACTAATGGCTGAGGACATGGCATGCAGAGAAGCTGTGGAATATTTAAAAGGATTTAAAAGGCCAGGATTTTGACATAAATATTGGAGCTCTGGAAGATGTACAAGACATATATTATCTGATGCTTGCCTCATTTTTCTGCATCTGCTTCTGGTCCGTGTCAGAGAGAGGATAGACGGTCTTGTCTCACTTTTTATGAGTTTTTATCAAGTGCTGCATTCTGGTAGTGAAAAAGGTATAGAGTTGTCACCATATGGCTATAAGGAAATAAATCTGCAGTAGGCATTCAGAGGATTTTATCAAAAGCAAAATTTCAAGTATTTTTTCAAAAAGTAAGTATTTTATGAAAATACTATCAGTGTTAACATACTAAAACATTAACATATTACCAGTATTAACATAAGAAAACATTTCCCTTTTCATAAAATACTTCTACAACCTACAATGTTTATATAAAACCTGCAGTAATTGCAGAAGGAATTTTAAGACTGGAAATATATATTCCATGTAATTAGAGCATCTGGTGCTGTGGATTTCACTGAAACATCATTTGATTCACTTTGCCTGTTTATTTATTCAAATTATCCTTTCAACATGATTATCAGTCAGAGATCAGATACTGAATCTGTACAAGTACAAGACCAGTCTTTTCTCCCAGCTGATGCTGTGTTAATGCAATTCTCAAAATATGGTGGCTAGTTTCACAAGCAGCTCAGCATGAATACATGCAGGCCTGGCAGCTGTGTCAGGGAAATTTTGACAGAAGGTGGCCCAGAGACTGCTGTGAAACGTTTACTGCATATTTGTTTCTCCATTTTGTGCCTGTACCTGTTGGTCCAGTATCAGTTGACATTGCATGTAAAAATGGGGACAGACACAGTTTGCGAGTCGACAACAACAAGCAGAAAAACAAGCCCTGGAAATGTGCTCACTTTTGCCCATGCATGTCTTTTAGTGCAACTGTTGGGGCAGCAGGGAGAGGGGAAGGCATGTTGACACCACCTGGTGTATGTACACTTAGCCAACAGTATCCTTTTCCAAATTGTTTTCCCATTTGTCTCAATTAAAATGTGTCTCTGCTCACACGAGTCACAACTAACCCATAATAAATTGTCTGATAACATTAAGTGCACACTGAGGTGGAACATTACAGTTTACTCCACTCCCTATAAATTATTCTTAATTTTGTTTCTCTAACTCAGATCACTTCCCCAGTGGGTTTTTCTGTTTTGATAAACAACTCCAAAAAAAAAAAAAAAGGCAATTTCAAAAGGCAATTTCATAGTCTTTTACCTCTTGTACTCAGGATTCATAAAAAATCACAGTTAAGTTGGATTCTTTACTCTGTGTCCACCTCTGATGGAGCACAGAGCACTTACTGCTGTACAAGTATTTCCAAGGCTGCATCTTTTGAGAACAGAAGCCATCATTGGTAATTGCTTTAATACCATCCAGAGGCTGGCTTTTAAGTTTGTAACTAGCTACTGGCATGATCAGCTCCAAATGTGTTTGGGAGATTTACGCTTGACATGGCTGAATACTCTACGAACTGTGGTCAGCCTGAATTTATTGTCCTACACCTGCTGTGCCACATAGCTGTGTTTTGTGCTGATGTAGAGAACCCGTGGATAAGTGTTTGGTTTGTGGGAGAAACCTGCACCTAGAAAAGCCTTTTGTAACTGAAGATTGTGAGGGAACCAAACATACCTTCTATGAGATAAATCTCATTACCCAAGGCAGGGATCCTTCTTTCTAACTTATTTTTTGTTGCCTGCCAATGGAGAATGCTGAACTACTGCTGAAAGCCTGGGTGGGTTCTCCAGACATGCCTAAGTGGTTTAGGACTTATGATGAGGTGGAGATCATAACTGTGTCTGGCAAATGCTGTTTGATTTAAGGGCTTTTAATCTTCATGAGAGTCTAAACTGTGTATCAAATTGTGAGGGTTTTGCGTATTTCTTTTATTTTAGTCTACATCTTGGACTGGTATGGGCTGAAGGCAAGTGATAAGGAATATTAATTTACTTGTTCTGAAAAAACAGCTGCCACAAAAAGTATGAAAATGGATTTAAGCAATAAGCTGGCTCACATGGGAAATTTTGTTTATCTCTTGCCTGTCAACAAGGTCATTGGATATTGTGGTGTGTTGAGACAGATCTGGGATCACGTGGCAAAGGAGGCTGGAAGAACTTTAAGAGGGCTGCTCTTAATTTCTATTAGCTGGGGTGGAGAGAAAGTATATAAGATCCTTATGAAGGAGCAGGAAATTTGCCAGGATAAATATAGAAAAATCACCCAAAACAAAAATTAAAAATGCATGAGGAAGACTGCTTTTATGGATTTTTTTTATCCCTTAATTATCTGCATTCCCTTTAACTTCTCCTCTTAAGGGACTATCAGCTAAGCCATAATTACCACTGAAAGGTGATCTGAAGAAAGAGGAGGTGCAGTACATTAGGGAAGAATACAAAGTGGTACACTTTGGCAGGAGCAAGCAAGTACCCAGCTCTGTGGAAACTGCTCATCTGACCCCAAGCCATGCAACCATCAGTACGAAGGTTGATGAGAAGCTTATGTGACTTTCATCCAAAGTCTATCAGCAGAAGCTGGGCATTCTCCTATCTTACATGATGTCTTTCCATCCTTTAAACACAACTATAATGCTATTTGATAATGCATAATTTCAGAGAAGAAAATGTATGTGGTCAAAGTCTGCTTTGTGCATATATTTCATACACATACTTTAGGTTAAAATTGTTGGTCCTATTTTAAAAAACCACCATGGAAAGTCTTCTTGATTACGGACAACATTTAGGTTATAATTCCAAATTCTTAATTTAAAAAAAAAAGTATTTTTAAGTTATGCTGGAATCTCATTTTTTAAAGTTCAAATTCTCTGAGCAGACTGTGTGGTATGCATTAACACCAATTGCTTATACAAGAGATACAATGTTTGAAACAAATGAAGAACATAACTGCCTAAAAGATCAAAGCAGAGATCTTGTCTTTGGTGGTTATAGGTTTTAGATCTCACAGATCCCATAGTTTTACTTCAAGGACAGAACTTCCTAGTTCCTATGTAAAGCAAATTT